AAGGTTCAAACGATGATAAATCGCTGCTGTTGAGCCATCTTGCAAAATCTAAAACATAAGACATTAGAGTGAGAATGAGCATACTTTGAAGGAACCGCACCTTTCCGTTCTGCATTACAATTCTGGGGTCATCGGATAGGATGGGGTCATATACTTCCGCCAATTCTTGCATGCTACCTCGTACTATTTTAGTAACCTAAAAAAACATTATTTAGTGCTATTATCGCCCTAGCGAGCACAGAGAATTTGTTCATGCTTTCAGCAACACTATGATGCCCCTTGGTCCTCTTATTTAGATAATTTCCGCATGAAAGAATCTCCTACGTTGAACAAGAAATTCCACCGTTTTCTTTACTAATAACCCTCTTCGAAACCTAAACAAACATGGGCATTCTAGAGCCTATTCTGAAGAGAGGAGTTCCATAGCTGCTGAGAAAAGCTACAGAAATGAATTTACTCCTTTTTCATTCCAAACACCTTCCAAAATTACTGTGCGGGACACAGAAATAAAGCTGGTTTATTCAAGTGTCTTTTTTGTCAACGCAGCACACTTGATAATAACTTTTACGTGAAAAGCTCTGTTTACTTAGACATTATAATTGCAACATAGAACACAAACATGGGTGAAGTGAAATAATGCTATGATTAGCTATTACCTTCTCCTTGTCTTCTCCAACAAACATTCTGAAGTCACCAGAGTAAGAGATCGAAACAATGCTGCGAAAGAGCTCCTCAAGAGAGCAAGAATCGGGCAACAGTAGCAAAGCAACTTGCAGGGCACTTCGTCGGTTTTCATAGAGGTTGTGCGTAATTGCAGATGTTGGTTTCACCACCAAAAATTACGTGATTAAGAATTGATGTAAAAAAGCAAAAAAAATTTTTCAAAAAACCTTACATCCAAAACGGGTTTGTGTAAACGACCAGAGACATAAAGCCATTTCCAATCGAGGAGATCTCTGTTAAGATCTTCCGTTGAGATAACACCATATTTTATTCGGCGAGTTCCTACGCGCACATGAGTGTTGTAGTAAATCCGGGCAGCCAAACGCGTTTGGTACTTTGCCAAGGCCTTCGGTCCGATGCACCTTCACATGATTGATATTCATATGAAGATTGATAT